GGCACTGAGTTGTTTGTTTCCACTCATTTGCTCTGTTTCCACTCATTTGCTCTTATAAATAACTCTGAGTGAAGCTCATTCCACACAAGTCATCTTGTACTTCTCTGATCATGTCCTTGGAACAAATTCCTGGAAGTGAAATTACTGGGAGTTGACATTTGAAGACTTTTTTCTGTTTGTACCGATTTTACAGTTTATGAAAAATCCACACAATTGATGCAGAATCTTCACTCCATTTTTTGCACCAACGTTGGCCTCTACAGCCCACCGACTGTCTTCATCCTGTTCTTGTGTTCCTTACAATGCTTTCCTGAGACCTTCTCCTACAACCACGTCTTGTCAGTCTGTGTTTGGTGCATTTGTCTTTGCTTGATCTTCTTGTTGTTAAGTGCCGTTGAGACTGTTCCAACTCATAGTAACCTTGTAAAGCGTTTCCAAGAAGTGGCTGTTGAATTTCAACTGCTGACCTTGAAGTTCAAACTGACCTTGTGGTCCAGTGCTTATCCTATGAACTAAGGCATTGTAAACTGCAAGGAAGTCAGTGGTCTTGCCACCAGTAAAATGGGTTCTGAATCCAAACACAATAATGGCATCTAGGTGGTCTTGTACATTTGACTACTTTGCCCTGCATTTCTGTCTCAGGGACTGTTGGCCTTGTAGGGTGAAGGACATCCATGATCATTTGTTTCTACCTGAGTGGTTGGTTGGTCATGAACTTCCCGGACTGGTGTTCAGTCCTCACACATCCAAACCCTAACCAAACTCACTGCCATCAAGTTTGATTCCCACTCATAGCAACCCTATGCTACAGAACAGAGCAGTGCCTTCGGGTTTCTGAGACTTCCGTCTTCTCTCTCTCTCTCTGTGTATAAATGAATGACGGTTTACGGAGCAGATCATCAGTTCTACATTCGACAATGCATAGACTGGGCTTCATCTCAATGAGTGCAATTCGCTCCATGGACCATCACGTAGCCCACTTCCTTCTTGTGGTTCTTTGTTGCCCTTCCTCCTTCCTTCCCCCACCTCTGAATTTTGTCCTTAGGGAAATGTGCCCTTTAGATCGTGAATGGTTCAACATTCCATGGTGTGGGTGCCGCACTGGTGTTGTTATCTCCCTATGTATTGCCTGCCTGAAACTTGAGCCAGTTTTGACCTGAGAGTGACCAAGGGCCACAGTTTCCAGTTTCTCCAGGTCTCTTTCTGACCAATAAGCCTGGTCTTTTCTGTAATTTTGAGTTTTGTTCCACATTTTCTCCCACCCCATCCACACCTTCTAATGTGATCCCTTTCAGAGCAGTTAGCTATGGTAGCGGGGCACCATTCAGTTCTTCAGATCTCAGGGTTGTGGAGACGGATGTTCACCGCACCCACTATTGGTCCACTGGACGAACTGATTTCAAGCCACTTCAATTTTCATCACCCTTCTTTCCTCTGGACACAGAGAGACCGGTAGTCACACTGTAGATGCTGTTCTGAGACAATAAATCTTTACAGGAGCAGACAGCCTCATTTTTCACCCTCAGAGCGGCTGGGTGGGTTTGAACCGCTGATTTTGTGATTAGTAGTCCAATGCTTAGCTCCTTCTCACACAGCCAGGGAGGGGTAAAGAAAAGCACCAGGAGCCCTTTTTAGATTTTGGTCCAGATTTCTAGATGGTCCTCCAGGAAACCAGTGCTGATTTTGTTTTTGATGAACAAGAGGCACACTGCCTCCCCTGGGTGTCCGGGGCTATTCTTCCAGCAGGAATGACGTGTTCGGTCTCAGCCTCATTCTGCATTCTTGGGCTGTCTCCTCTTCCCTTCCCCAGCTCCCAGGTGGCCTGCGTCCAGCTAAGTTGGGCATGTGACAGCCAGGCCCTTTCTTGGAAGATGAACTCGACTCAGAGCCCCTTCTGGGCTTACTGGAAACCCAGTCTCCAGAGTGGTGCTAACCCTGGGAGCTCATTCATCTGAGCAGCTCCGGGGATCCTAATACCCTCAACCAGCAGAATCTCTCAAGTACTTAACTCCTTCTCCTCCTTGCTTCTCTTTTGGGGTCTCTGACTTCCTACTGATTATTTCCCCCATCACTTTCCATTGCAAAGTTCTGGAGAAGGGTCCATTTCTCCAACCCACTGCTATTGTTTGCTGACCCATGGCGCCCTTGGGTTTTCAAGACTGTGACCTTTTGGAAGCAGGTCACCAGGCCTGTCTTCCGCGGTGCCTCTGGGTAGTAGCTTCAGACCCTCAACCTTCTGACTAGTAGTTGAGTGCTGAACTGTTTGTACCACCTGGGGATTTTCAATCATAGTTTTTGAGTTGAAATTCAGCCTCTCCAGCCAGCCTGGAGGCCCCTACAGGACCCTCTTCCCCCTCCCTGGACTTTCTGAGAAGTTCTGAGTTTCCTCAGTCTGAAGAAGAAGGTCCCACTTCTTCCACACAGCACCCCTGGGGGTCCAAGGTGAAGCAGTTCTCGAGACCACCTGTGTCCCTCAGCACTCTTGGAGTGAGATTTTAAAGTGGAATGAAAGCCGGCAGGTAGCAGTTTGTGACCAATTTGTAGTTTGCCTGTGCCTACCCTCAACTCCGGAGTCCTGGTGTGGCGCTGTGGGTTAATGCACCAGACTGCAAAGTCATTTGAACTGCAAGGTCAGAGGTTCAAGCTCCCCAGCTGCTCCTCGGAAACCCTATACAGGGTTGCTATGGGTCAGAACCAACTCGATAACACTTAGCAACAAGTAACAGTAGTATTTCAAACTTGTTCTGTGTGTCATGGCACGTTTCATAGACCACCAGAAGCCAAGCCCATCTCACAGTGACCCTACAGGACAGAGCAGAACTGCGCCTTAGGGCTTCCAAGACTGTAAGTCTCTGTGGGCGCAGGCTTTCTCCCACAGGTCGGCTGGTGGGTTTAACCACCGACCTTACAATAGGCAGCCCAATTGTTCACCCGACCGCGCGACCAGAGCGTGACCACAGCGCTCCTTAATACATGACACTGTTGAGTCAGCACCTTGAACGCACCGGGAAACGGAACACGCAGGTGACTTGTAGCACATGCGCAGTATTGGGGAGGCATCTGGAGGTGAGCGAACAGCATCGCCGAGGTCGGCCTGGAGGCAAGCCGTGACCACGCCAGAGATGCTTTCAAGGCCCCGTCCCTGTTCTCCTCACCAGCTAGGTTGTTGTGTAGTCTGCTCCGTCCCACCTGTTTGGTTCTGGTCTCACCTGACATCTTTGGAGGTGGACTACCCACTGAATGAGGCAGGAGAGGCCCAGGGCCCAGCTGCTGGTTCTGAGACCCACCCCTCTGGAGGCCACGCTGACCACGGCTGTCCTGTCCAGACCTCAGGGGCGGCGGGGTGCTGAGGCCCATCTCCCCTGACGGCTCTCAGTGACCTTTGGCCCGGCAGCCTGGCTCCTTCCACCGGGTTCCCTCTCAATTCCGCCTTTACTCAAAGTCTCTGACGACAAACAAGCATTGTGGTCACAACCCAAGGTGCTAACCTCAGGTGGACACTGGAATTGCTGTCCATCAAGAGTCAGACCTGCTCCCCAGAAGACAGAGGAGCCAGCGGGACGTACTCCCCTGCAGGCCACGGCGCTCGAGGCCACCTGAGCAGTTTCCAGGAGAAGCTCCGAGCCACCTGACTCAGGACTCCTCTGACCAGAGGTGTCACTGACCCCTAAAGACCCGAGACCTCTTTGGGTTCAGTCAGTAGTGGTGGGCACACCCTGGGGACAGTTTTTGGGGGGGTGTAAGGGGTGGGAATGTCCCAGGGGGAGGCAGTGTGTGTGCCTAAACACCAGAAGCCTAAACTGGACAGTCCTGATGGGGTCATGCTTTGAGGGGCAGGGAGAGGCCGCTCTCAGGGTTCTAGGGGTACACCCCAGTTAGCTGTCTGCAAAAGACTGGGGGGCGGAGCAGGGTGCATGGTGGGTGGGTGGGCGGGGCACTGCAGGTACCTGAGAGCAGGGCCAGCTCAGAGGACATTGGAGGGGCCGCTGGGGACTCCCTTCCAGGATCCAGACCTTGGAGAAACTAGACTGTAAGCAGGGGGCGGGGGAAAGCTGTGAAGGGGCTTCTGTGCAGAGGACGGGTGATGAGACTGGACAGGGCCTCTGAGGCCAGTGAGGGGAGCTTACCTGGGGAGGGGCCCTGGTAAGCAAGCAAACCCGGCTTTCCCATCTGTGAGCTCAGTCCTCTGAGCAGTGATGGGCAGCATAGTGGGGACACAGCTGCCCACACACCCAGCACATCCCCCATGGGGGAGCCTCCCAACATCAGCTCCCCCCAGCGATCCCTGCGGTGGAGTCTCTTCCTCTGAGAGAGAAACAAAATCTCAGGAGACTTTCTCCTCCACCTCCCTCCTCCCAGGGCAGTGTAGCCGCCACCCCACTCACTGCAGCCCCAGGTTCAACTGAACAAAATGCCACCTGAGCCAGCAGCGTCCCCATGACCACTTGTAGATGCAACTAATTTTCAGAAGCAGTTCACCAGGCCTTTCTTCCTAGTCTCTTAGCTTGGAAAGTCCTTGGAAACCTGTTCATCATCAGAGCAACACACAAGCCTCTGTGTATTGCCCCCCAGTGCTCCCACCTCCCAGTGTAGATACTGGAAAGGAAGATGCCTCACACATTTCAGATCACCCTTTAATCACAAACACCCATCCACAGTCAGTCTCTCGGGTGTTGTAGCCGGGCGGGAGTTCGGAGCAGATCACAGTGCTTTATAGATATTGGGAGAAGCAGAGCATGGATGGACATCTCCCCCAGAAATAAAGGGCAATGGGGCCTAGTACCCCACCCTTTCGGGGCTGATTGTACCCCGGTGAGGGGGCTTAAGATGTCTGCCTAGAGGAGGGACCTTTGTTGATCCTGCGGCTCTCCTGGTTGGAGGAAGCAGGGTAGAGGGTGGAAGCGCAAAGCCTGCCTTTCTGGGGGGCCCATGTGCTCTCGCTGGACAGGCCTGTGGCTGCCAGCCCACCTCCCTGGCCCTGGAGGACAGCCCCCACCAGCCTACACAATGCCTTCCCGGTGTTTGTTTTGCCACACCACCAGCATGGTCACCAGCAGGGTCACCAGGATGGGTACCACGATGAAGGGATAGAGGATGCTGTTGGGCGGGTCCTGCACAGCCCGCCCGGACACAGGGCAGCTGCTGAAGTAACGCTGGTGGATGGTGACAAAGAAGCGGTTCACCTCGGCGTTTGGCCAGAAGCACTTGAGCAAGTTGGCCACTTGCTCGGTGCAGTTGGTGAGTTCACTGTAGGTCCTGCAGACAGAAAAGATGGTGTCAGTTCCCAGGGGGTCCTGGAGCTTGAACTCAGCTCTGGAAGCGCTTCCTGCCAAGCCCAGTGGAGTGTGTAGCCCTGCCGGGGTTCCCCAGACGCCCTGCACATGCCCAGAACCTGGATGGAGAGCTGGGGCAGAGAGAGGGGTGTTCCTTAGCCCAGGGACTTCAGGCTGGGTGGGGAGGGGTCAGTGGGGTGTGTGTGTGTCAGCTCTTGTGCCCCTTCTTGTCCTCTGTCCCCCTCAGTCTGGAGTGCTCCTGCCCCGAGTGTCCTCATCCTCAGGCCTCCCACATCCCAGGCTGTGGACTGAATCGTGTCCCAAAAGCCACGTCCAAGTCCTAACGCCTGGTCCTCATGAAAGACTTCGGCTAGAAATAGGGTCTTTGCAGAAGTTGAGGTAACCCTGGAGTGTTGTGGGTCCTAGCCTTCTAGTACTGATGTCTTTATGAAAACCACACCTAAATCAAACCCATCACGGGGAGCGGATTCTGACTCATGGTGGTCTCATGTGGTGCAGAATAGAACGGCTTGTCGTCCTTACGGGAGCTGATTGCCAGCCCTTTCTTCTGTGATGCTGCTGTTGAGTTGATTCTGTTGAATTGACTCACAGGGACCTCATGTATAATAGAAAGAAACACTGCCCGATCTTGTGCCATCCTCACAGTTGTCGTTGTTTGTACCCACCGTTGCAGCCGCTGACAATTCAGTGTCCTGAAGGTCTTCCTTTTTTTCACTTTACCAAGCATGACCGAGGTCGTTCTTCATGCCCACACGCATGCCCAAAGTATGTGAGACCCAGTCTCACCATTCTCACTTCTAAGGAGCGTTCTGACTGTGCTTCTTCCAAGACAGATGTGTTTGTTCTTCTGGTAGTCCCTGGTATAGTCGATATTCTTCTCCAGCAC